GTTTACTCTGATGTGAAGATAAGAACTGCTGTCATGCTCAGAGTTTGTATTGAGATCATCACACAGGAGGTCATTATGGGTCAGCTTGCAGTTCAATTAATGTCAGTCACTAACTACTGCATACTACCACTAGGGTAGTCATGATGTCATCACTCGTTAACAGCAGGCTTTCTCACATACATCATCGATTATTATCTCTGCTTTGCACTTTATTTAATTTCCATTTAATGTCCTATTGTACATTCTGCAGAGTATATAAGCTCACTTTTTTTCTATGCGTAAACACATTAGCTCTGGTGTGAATGTGGTGATGACTAATTCTTGCTACACATCTTTATGTGTACAGAGGAACTGGAGGTTGTTTGTTTTTCACTCATACTGATAAGCATCGGCCTTTCTTGTTTCTTCCCACACTTTAGTTGCAAAATAATCTCTATAGCACATTGGAACAAAACACATGGAGCGGTTTATTTCAGTATTTTGTTCATTTGATTTTATTTCCCCTTTATGCATTTTATATCTGACCTCTGTTGTAGATTAATATCTGATGAGAATTTACTGGCAATCTTTTTAAATGTGCCAAATTAAATTATGAATTTTGATTCTGGGCACACCACTGGGCCCACCTCACTGCCTATATGCATAATGTGTAATGAGTTCTGTATGCATAATATGTTTTTATGTAATATTTTACATCAGGTACTATGTATGTATGTTGATGTCATTTTCTATCTGTTTTGAGAGAATAGAGGAACAAATGCATAGACAGCCAGCCAAATGCCTTTGACTATCCGTGACCCCATCTCGTCGCCCCTTTGTAAAGTTTCTGGGAGCGCCACTGGACAGGACAGGTTGAGGCTAGCTGGTTAGCATGCTAACTAGATGATATAGATAATACAGCACCCACGTAAACACAGGGAAAACATGCAGTCCACACAGAAAGGCTCTGCCTCTGATAATGCTATATGACTGCCCTCAGTGTGACCTTATCTATGTGGAGGCTTTTGAATAACAACAAGGTAACTGTAAACTGTAAATTTCAGCTCTGGTGGATCTTTGAAAACATTCCAATGTCGCTGTCCAAGGTGCTGATCCTGAGCCCTTCAGGAATGCTGAGGCTGTCCTGGGTAATGGAGCCTGTTGTGTCTAATAAAGTTCCTACCCGTCTACAGCACAGTTTTAAAAGGGACATCCACAGGTTATACTCATTTAGTAATCCATGGGGAATTGCAGAGATCATCCCAGCACAGAATCCTTATATGACCACTTTTCACTATGTGAGCTCACTCTGTATTTTTAAAAGGGGGTTAACAATCCATTAGGCTTTTAATTTGGAGTAATATTATAGTTCAGTATTCCTTATATTGACTTATTTTTTTTTTTTTTACGTTGTATTGTTTTCATTGCATTAAGTTTTAGTCTTGCAAAATTGTATTCATTGATTGTTTTTATTTTTGGTCTGTTGTTTCAGTGTTGCTATGTGAAGCACTGGGCTGTATGAAAGGTGCTATACAAATAAAGCTGAGTGGGAAAAATACTGGTTTCAAGTTTGGCCATGACTTCACCAACAGGAAGTGACTGAGCTCGAATGCAACTGAAATAGTCTCATGAACAGAGGTGCGAGTGAAAAGAGCCAGAGCACATTGTCTCTGAGGAGGCACCCAAACTAAATTTCATAGAGAAAAGGTATGAATAATAATAATACAAACATTTTTATAAGGCTACAACTTTCTGAATGCACTCTTTGCAATACAAGCACTGATACAAGTACAGTTGGAATAGAAACATGCACAAATTAACGATACAATGTTAGTGTATTGTGTGATATGAGTAAATTCAATGTTCTTCATGCATTTGTAATAATTACTCTTATTTATTTATTTATTATGTTAATGACATTTTTTAATCAAAACAATTTTTGGACCAGAAAACCTTTGTGCAGTCGACACCTTAATATATCTTATCAGTGGGCAGGAAGTGTGAACATGTCAATGTGGTCAAAACCACTGCAGTTTGAGTTTTGTGTAAAAGGGAAGGAAGAACAGACAGGCTATACCCAGAAGGAGGAGTTGATGAAAAAGTTCTATGAAATGTAACTCCTCTCTCTCTCTGTTTTATTATTGCAAAGTAGAAACATTTCCTCAGAAGCAGAGCAGCAGAGTGACAGTGTCGGTGCTGGATGTGAAGATGGGGCACACTTTGCTCTGTGTGCTGGGGTTATTCTGTGAGTACATCAGTGACTTTCTAATTTTGTGACTTTCAGAGGCAGACTCTGAGTTTTTTGTCAACAAGTTTTCTAGGAATGATCTATGTTTCTGATTTGGTTTGGTTTAGAGTGGAAGACTGTGTTAAATAAACTACTTTGCCCACATATTTGCACAATGCATGTACAGTACAGATTTGCAGATTAACAGTGAAGAGTGTCAAACCTATGAATGCAATAGTTCCATACCTTACTTACTCACAGAATATCATCACAGAAATGTTTGATACTGCTGATTGAATAATAGTTGCTAGTGTTGAAACTGCATCTGGATTTTAAATGCCTTTTATTATTGTCTGATGAAGTTTTAATCTTTATTTTAGTGCTGAATACACTCCCCTACGGACATGCTGAAGGTGACCAATTGTTTTAGTTATTTCTGTTTTAAAAAATGTTTTATTTATCTTGATCACTTCCTCCTTTCTTATTTGTCTTCTTTCATAAATGTATCATTTTACATTTAACTACAAACATCCACAACAGCTTCAATGCTCCTTTGCAAAGATTCTAAACTCTATTACTCTATTTGTATGTATCTATGAACCTCAACACACATTATCTATCGTCTATTTGCAGTCGTGTAGGTGTTGTCAAAATGTTGATGTTTCTTGATTATGTTCTGTCTATTTGGATGTGTTGTCTTAAGCTGCAGTGTGTTTTCTCTCTGCCATCACTCAAGCAGCTGCAGACATTTAGGATCCTTTATGTCTGATTATGTACATAAAGATGTGCAACTTTGGTATGATGTTAGCCCAGTACCTCTTGAAAAAAAAAAAAATTCTTATCATGGTGAGAATGGACTATTTGTGTGACCTTCTTCAGTGTGTGTGCAGACACAATAGAGGAGTTATTGTTGATTCCTTCATGCTGTTCAGTTTTATTGATAAATATCTGTAATCAGATAAACCACATGATAGCTGAATGCAGTATTGTAGACTCTCTTGACATTAAACACCATTCTGCTGAATATTTTACAGTAGCTGAGATGGATTGTCTTGTTTTATTCTAGTTTTTAAACAGGATGGATGGCTTCTATTATATTCTTATATATTATATTATATTCTATATTCTCTATTGTTGTTTGCAGCTCCTTTTTTGCCACTGTGGTATCATGCTAAAGACTGTAATACACCACCATGGTAGTGTCCCATTTCACTTCAGCTGTAATAAATATGCAACATCCGGTTACACTTTCAAAATAAAGCTTGCTTGCTTCAGGAAAAGAGTGTATCTGACCAAATCATTGTTTACATGGGACTCAAACAGCAGTCTCCTGGGGGAAAGTCCTGTGTGTTTGTTTGGATGTGGACTTGCTCTTTACACTACTGCTAGTACTGCGCCTTCATGCACACGTTTACTTGTGGCACTGTTTTCCCTCATGGATCCATTCCGAAGGAAAAAGATATCCAATACAACTTCACCAGGAATTTGATGTGGCTGGGAACCAGTGTTGGGAGTAACGGCGGAAGTATAACGCGTAATTTTTTTTTAAGTAACGGAGTAATCTAATTGATTACTTTTCCCCTCGTTGCAACGCCGTTACCGTTACTGAGAACGTAAAGTGGCGCGTTACTTGCGTTACTATAAGTTGGTTGAATGAAGCGCAGCGGTGTCAGGCTTTCTGACAGACACACATCAGCTGCTGGGAGAGAGCAGGGTGGTGATGATGACACTGTTGCAAATGCGATGATGATTGGCTGGGTGGGCGGATGCCCTGCTCACGCTGTCTCACTGCACGCTGTCTCACTGCACGCTGTCTCACTGCACGCTGTCTAACTACTACTATAAACACAAGACAGAGACAATGGCGACGAGAAGAAATTCAAAGGTAGCGATATCAAACTGGAAGTACCGACACTACTTCTCGCTTACTGAAGTTAAAGGCAAGAATGTTTATGTAACATGCACTATGCCCAGGAAAAAAAACTTTATCCACGTCTGCCTCAAGCAACTCAAATCTTATGAAGCACCTCACAGGAACACATGCTAACACGCCACTTGTTGCTGCTGCTAACCCAACCTCAAGCCCAGATGCAGCTAGCGTGAGCTCCAGTGAAGGAGACGGAGCCACTCCGTTAAAGGGACACTGTGTAGGAATTTCTCCCATCTAGCGGTGAAATGGTATTTTGCATTCAAACGAAAAGTGCTCTCTAGTGCCTCGCGTTTTCAAATGCGTATTGCAACTACGGTAGCCGTTATGTACCAAGAAGCCTACCTGTCGAGGAGAAAGCAGGCAACTTCAGCGTCCCTTTGAAAGTCTTTCTCCTTCATTAGCTCTTTCCTCCTGGGAAAAGCTACCCCGATGTTTACCCTCGTTTTTTGAATTCGCCGGTCACAAACTAGCCTGCATGATAATATAGACATTAGACACTAGACTTACAACAGGGGATTATCACACTGACTGGGGTCAAACAGTGTATCTCTGTACTAAATGCATCCTAAAAGGCTGCTAGTATTTTGGTATTTTGGGAGACTGTTGTGACTCTCTGTGAGCTCTTTTATTCCTTCAAAAGCTGCTGCTATTAACACTGCTTGGCACTTGACTTTCTTTTAAATAACATTATAGCTGTTTAGTAGTATTAATATTATTTTTTAAAGGTTGCTGCTGAATACAATGACATGCATCCACATAACTAACTATTATGGAATATTATATATTATAGTTCATTGTTTACATTTTACTTTTTTAGTTTTTAATCCTGTTTGTATCCTAACTGGACATTTCTGATGTCAACAGTTTCCAACAGGGCCAGTTTGACCCTTCAACCCAGCTGGCCTCAGATATTCAGGGGTGAGACGATCACTATAAGATGTGAGATTGATGGAGGTGGAGACACTCAGTGGACGTATGAATGGGAACCAACCAGCTCAAACACACAGTCTCCAACACACAGTGAATACAGGATTATCAGTGCTACTGAGTCCCACAGTGGAGACTACAGGTGTAAGGGTAGAAAGGACTCATATTCCTCAACAGAGTGGAGTGACTACATCAGACTGACTGTATCATGTAAGTTGGACTGTCCTTCATCCATAATGAAAATGTCATGTTTTAAATGTTTTTATTTATCAAAAACAAAAACATTTCTCGCTCCAACAATAATAAAGTCTCTTAATGTTAGCTCAGTAAAAAAATTTTTTTGTATGGGAACTGAAAAAGTATCTAGTAATCAAAGTATTCTCTTGAAATATAAATGATCAACTGTTAGTAAGATTAATTGCCTAACTGGCTAATCTACATTGCCTGCAGGAGTTAGTGTTCATGGTTGTTTGTGTAATGTATTAACCCTTTGATAGACTGACAACCTGTCCAGGGTGTAACCTTGCTCTCACCCAGCATGAGCTGGGATAGGATCCAGCTCCCTAAGACCCTGCAAAGGATGAGTGGGTACATATAAAGGATAAATAGAAGGTATATTAAAAAAAAGTTTAGCTCTTCTACACTTGAACAAAGGTTTTTGCCTTCACAAATGTCACATTCAGTAGCAGCAAATTATTATACAACTAACATTTTATATATTTATTTTATTTTGTAAATACATAGAATTTCGAAGTTTCTGCAAAACAGGACTTGAGAAAGAGTATGAAATATATAGCAGCACATTGCTTTGCTTGGCCTAGGAGGAACGTGAGCACACAATAAAAATGAATCCTCTCTTTCCCCACTCCCAAGGATAACCAGTGCTACAGCAGATTCAGTCCAAACAGAATTGATTTATGAATATAATCAGGATAGAACAGGCGTTGGGGAGAGCATGGCCAAAACAATAAACATAACAACGTATCATTTTACAGACTAACTTACCTAATTCACAAAAGAAAACAAAAGACAGACATCTTACCTCCCCCTAACATAAACAAGAGACATAGATCAACAAAAAGGTCTTCTCACCCATACAGCTCCCAGGACTGCTCTTCTTGAAGATATTTATATTGTGTTCAACAGAGATCAATCACTTAGTAGCACTGCACGGTCTGGTTGGTCAGAGAAGAGACGGTGAAGAGCCCCACCCTCAGACAGGAGGGGAAACAGCACAGAAATCACTAAAATACAAATATGACTGGGGGTGATAACAACATGCTGAATCTTTATGTTTGTTTTGATATTTGTGTCAGAATGAGGAAAATATCTCATGCTGCAAAATGTACCTTGCTTATTGTAAATTGCATGCATTGGTTAGTTACAGCAGAGATAGACCAGAAACAGCAACAGATGCCCTTTGTCAGAATTAAATTAGTATATACTGTATGCAGTGTATGAATTCAATTCAACGTTAGTATTAATAATATAACTTAATGAAAGTTAAAGTCTACAAATTAAATTTTTTTTTCTTTTGGGGGCTGCACTATTTAAACTGGACAAAATCACAGTGACAGTAATTTCCTTTTTTGCCAAAGGGCCTATATAAATGTAACTTTTACTAGTGCAGCAGCAAATTATCATACAACTGACATTTTATATATTTATTTTATTTTATGAATTCATAGAATTTCTAGGTTTGTGCAAAACAGGACCTGAGAAAAAGTCTGAATGGTATATCAATACATTGTTGTGTTCGGCCTATGGGGGGAACGTGAGCATGAAATAAAAATGACTCCCCTCTTTCCCCACTCCCAAGGATAACCAGTGCTGCAGCAGATTCAGTCCAAACAGAATTTATTTATGCCAAATCAGGGTAGAACAGGTGTAGGGAAGAGCATGGCCAAAACAGTTAACAGAACCATATATCATTTTATGATACTTACCTAAAAGAAAACAAAAGAAAACACAGGCATCGTACTTCGTCCTTAACATAAACAGGGGAAAATAAATTAACAAAAAGGTTTTCTTACCCAAAGAGCTGTAAGGTCTGCTCTTTTACAAGATACTTCAGAGATTAGACACTTGGTAGCACGACACATTTTGGCACAGCACAGTTTGATTGACAGTCAGGGAAAAGAGAGAATGAAGCAAGTTCCATTTTAAAGTAACCACATTTGTTCTCCCGTCCAATCACCAGCCACAACCTGCAATTCAACAAACTGAGGAAAACACTGAACAGTGTGAAGAGCACCACCCGCAGACAGGAGGGAGAACAGCACAAACACTCACTATCACTCAAATACAAATATGACACAGAGTCATAACAACATGCTGTATCTTTAATCAAACAATTAGGGATGTCCGAAAATATCGACCCTCCGATATTATCGGCTGATAATCACTAAAAAAATGTAATATCGGGAATTATCGGTATCGGGTTTTTATAACCGATGTTTGTTCTGTTGGCTTCAGCATTTCCGAGCCTGCATGAACGCAGCATGGGACGTTTACCGGCGCGCGCTAGATGACGTATAACAACAACAACTAGACTGGTTGGTTGCTAACCGTGGCTAACAAGCAAACAATTTAAAGCTGAATGATTTTAATATTAACACAAAATAAGTGCAATGCACCTTAAATATTTTACCCTGCTATGAGCTGTTCCTTAACCAAACTAACAATTGGCTTAGAATTTACATTAGCACTCCTTCAGGAGCATAATACAATTAAACACATTAACCAAAGCTAGTGATTAGTGTTAGCGCTCTTTTCAGTATTAATACAATGAAAGTTGAAGTTGTTCTCTTATTTTGCACAGACAGTGTTTACATTTGGAAATGTTGCATTTATGTATGCATCCAGTGGGGCATCACAATAAAATTAACTTTCTTGTTGCAAATGTGGTGAATTGTGCTCCTGGTTAGTTACATTACAGATACAGACCAGAAACAGCAACAGGGCTCCTTTTCAAGAATTAAACTATTGTGTATCCAGTCTATAAATTAAAGGCATGTTAACATTTCTTACCTGTGGGGGCTGCTCTATTTACATTGGATTAAATCACAGTGACAGTAATTTCCTTTTTTATGTCTTTGTTCTAAATTAAACAGCACAAACACCAAAGGCCCAACTGAGAGCTGATGACACAGACATTCCTGTAGGGGGCAGTGTGACCCTGACCTGCTCTGTGAACCCATCATCATCTGGTTGGAAATACTTCTGGTACAGAGGAGAGAAAACCTCTGAACCTCTGACCACACCAGATGTTGTCTTCCTCTCAACTGGACAAATCAGAGTCTCACAGGGAGGACTCTACTGGTGCAGAGGAGGAAGAGGAGACACAGTTTACCCCACAGACTACAGTGATCCAATCAGTATCTACAATATGAGTGAGTCTGGAATTCGTTTTGAAACAGACAACTATCTTGTATTCATAATTAATTATTTATAAATAGGCCTATGGAATGATGTTCTCATTTTTGTATCTTTCCTGTGAACAGCTGCAAACAAGGCTGTTGTGACTCTGCAACCAAACTGGTCTACAATATACAGCGGAGAGAAGATCACACTCAGATGTGAGATCAAGGACGGAGGAGACACTGAGTGGACGTATGAATGGAAAACAACCAGCTCAGAAAAACCTTCAAATCAAAATGAACACAGTATTCGGTCTGCTACTGTATCCCACAGTGGAGAGTACAGCTGTAAGGGCAGAATGAAACATGCTCAACAGTCTTCAACAGAGTGGAGTGATCCCATCAAATTGACAGTATTAGACAGTAAGTCTCATCATATTTATTTTAATATTATACAGTTCACTAAATGGCTGTTTGGTTGATATGTGTTTTAAATAAAGTTATTCTTAAAGTTTGTATGTACTGATTGTACAGGATGCATTTGATCCACTATTGATACATGTTTACATTCTGAAAAATCACTTTCCAACAGAACCTCAGTCTGTCCTCACTGTGTCTCCATTATGGCTGAGTCCTGGAGACTCTGTAACTCTGAACTGTGAGGTTGAACATCCATCTGCAGGATGGAGGTTCTTCTGGTATAAGACTGTTCCTGATCTATCATCCAACTACTACAGCTCTGAGCTGCTACCTGGCAGCAGCAATGGGACTGAACAGGATTCCTACATCGTACATGGACCGACACACACAGCAGGATATAAGTGCAGAGCTGGAAGAGGAGATCCAGTGTATTACACTGATTATAGTGAACACAAGTTTGTCTGGTCTGGAGGTCAGTTTGTTTCTGTCTGTCCTCTCAAGAAGCAGATGTTATGTCATCTATTTTCTGTCTGTGACCAACATAGGGCTGCTCGATTATGGAAAAAATCATAATCACGATTATTTGGGTCAAAATTGAAATCACGATTATTTTTTTAAACTTCAGAAACATGCTGCATTTAGTGGACATTTGTCAAAAACACTTTGCAAGGAAGTCCTCAGTTACACTTTCCTTTCCCCATAAACATTTGTAAGTCTCCGCGTTACCTGTTCAAACGAAAACAACGTGACAGGAGAAGACTGCAACTAGTGTCGCGACCACCGGCGCAAGTATAAATAGTTAAGGCGCTCCCGTGACTTCACATTGTGTCGCGACAGGTCGGGAACGGCGAGTATACCGAGCGCATGACGCATGTGCAGTGCATGCTGTGGGGGAGGGACGGAAATACGCATGCGCGAAATACGCAGCCCCTGAATTGGGACACAGCTTTTTTCTATACAACGTTTCACAACAGAAATAATAAAGTAGCTATATTGAAAACTAACACCTATGTTAACAAATAATTGGTGTGTACATTGAGACATCCGTAGGGTGGCCATTTCCTTCACATCAAAAAGGAGGACACTTTGCATACACGGGGACACGCAAGCAGATATTTGTTTGGTATGATCCGGTTTTAAATGTTAATGTTTTTCCACCAGATTACATAAAGGTGCATACACATACCACATAGCTAATAATAAATACACAAGATACAGCTCATGACAACGTGCCCTTCCAATTCAGATTACATAGGTCTAATAAACATCATACAGAAACTGTTCTTAATGTTCTTATCTGGATAGATAAAGGGGAAAACAAATACAGCACCTTCTGTTTCAGATGTATAGGATTTGCCTATCTACATATGAGTGTGAGCATTTTCAGTATTTCAGTCCAACAACCGACGTTAGCTCACGTTATGTTCTCTGTCTGAGAGCTTGATTGACAGCCTGGTGGTAACCTAGCAACTGCGGTGATCGTGGTGAATCAACACATGGCTCATTTGAATATTTAAATTAGCCATGTGTTTATAGGTCACCACACGAAAATGTAACCAATGAAATTACTTATTTTGACACACATTTTTAGCCAATAAGTATTAAACTAACGAGGTAATGTGTCAAAAGGCGACATTTTTAGTTATTTTCTCAAAAGGAGGACAAATGAGTGTCCGACTTCACACACAGACACACATTTAAAAGCCGGACTGTCCGGCCTAAAGCCGGACAAATGGCCACCCTAGACATCCGTGGTTTCGAGGTGGTTGCTGTTCTTTTGGTCGCCTCTCTTGGACCAGCGGGCTGCAGTGCTCGAGTACCTCCTCATGAAGACTAGAGGGGAGTTATGGAGCTAGATTCTTGGTTAGGTAGTCAGATAGAGAGAAGCCCAGTAGGAGGCTGTGTCTGCCTTTTGTGCGCACTGGTGGGTCCTAACACATTGCATTCCCATTCTCCTGTGTGCTCTTGTGATGAAGTCGTAAAAGCGTTTGTAGCTGAAGAGGTTTTAGATGAGTGTACAAAGGATCAGTTGGTTAAAATAGCTGACTATTATAAAGCTGATGTTGGGGATAGAAGAGTAAAATAGACAGTGATGTGAAACTTGAAAATGAATTTGTTAAAGATGAATGTGTTACTGTTGTAGGAAGAAGCGGTCTCTGTTGGGCCCTGCAGAGGTTGGTCCTTCCTCCGTACTGAAGAGTCCTGGTGCTAGATTCACTTTGGAGCAGCAGAAATAGTTGGTTGTGTTGCGCATGAAATTAGAGATGGAGAAAAAAGTCATTGTAGAAAATATGCGTCAGGGTATTGAGATGGAGAAAGTACTGTCAGTTGAACTGCAGAGAGATACATTGACGTTGGTTAGAGAGGGCAAACATGGGGTTGATTCTCTGCTTGGCGATAAGAAGACTTTATGATATTTCCAGCTTTCCACCTTACTTTGTGGTTTTACATACTGGACTGGGCAGAATTTTCTTATTTCCTTCTGTCCTCACACTTTAACTTCGTCACGAAAAACACAACATGAATCCCCCTGTATCTTTAAAAGATGGCAAATAAACGTAGAACATTTATCATTTAAAATGTAATCAAATAGTAGCAAGTTTTCAAGATGGAAATCATAGTTTGACCAAAATCACTGCACTGTGTTGCAATGTTTGCATTAATCCTCAACAATAAACAATAATAGCAAATTAATATTATGACATTAAAAGCACTGTGCTCTGTTTGATCCATTATTACATGTTGTTTTTCAGATTTTCATCCATCAGTGTCTCTCACAGTGAGTCCTGACAAGGTGCAACACTTCACCTCTGACTCTGTCTCAGTGAGCTGTGAGGGAAACTCTACTGAGTGGAGAGTGATGAGGTTTCCTGAGAACAGCTACTGGTCACACTGCTCCTACTGGGGGACAATGACTGGATCCACATGCAACATATACAGTTACCAGCAGAGTGATGCAGTGTACTGGTGTGAGTCTGGATCAGGAGAGTTCAGCAACGCCGTCAACATCACTATACTGAGTATGGTTTCATTATATTTTCTTTTATAAATGATTTTAAACATCCCATTATGTGTTTCAACATATATTAGAATTCTGTTGTGTACAACATCTACATTACATTACAAAAATATCCATGTCATTGAATTGTTGTTCCTAAAGATTATTTTACAAATAAATGTAGCCCTCCTACTCAATTCTAATTTGTGACAAAATGTCTATGTTATCCCTCAAACTAAAGAGGGGAGAAATAATCACAAAAGATATTAGATGTGTGTCTCTTGCGCGAGCTTTACTCGAATGAAATATGAAATGTAACAATAAAATACAACAATTTACACACTACAGAAAGATACAGGAACAGGAAATGTATGAAATGTATCTAAAATACACAGAAGGATACAGAAACACAAAAAATGGCGAAGCTGGGACCTGCACACACACACACACAACGCCGGTTAAACTAGTCTGCCTGTACATACATACACACACACACAACGGCGAATGCCAGTTAAACTAACACACAACGGCGAATGCCGGTTAAACTAGCCTGCCCGTTTCAAAGCTAAACATATTACCCTGCTTTGCTCCGTTCCCAGGGTTCAGTTCCTGGTAGCGATGTGTTCCATCTTTAGCACCACACTAATGCTTGAAACTGGTTGGTTTTTGCACCAGCATTATGTTTTAATTGCTAAAGGATTTAACTGGTTTGGGTCAGCAGATATGGATATAGTTCAGTCGTCAAAGAATCAGGGTAGGAGAGAGATCCTTAGGTCCGTGAGTTTTATTGTATGAATCACAGTGGACAGACACATACATGCTGATACCAAGGTGACTATGTTTGTGTGGTCTACAAAAAGAATAATGATAGGTAATCATGGTATATAAAATTAACATGCAACTTGCTGAAAACATGAGTACATTATCTTTATAATTTACATTATGCTGATTTACACACAACCAGTGGGTAGAAACTAGAAGAAAGTGTCTGGGCTTTACACTGCTCTGCATGCAGTGGCTGCAGAAACTGAAAGTCATAATGTAATTATTAACAGGTTTATTACCTTGCATTGTACTCAGAAGTCTCAGTGTTTAACCTGCAGTGTTCTTTTCTTCTTTTCTGACACCTTAGCAATGGTGTGAATGTGTGATAACACTGTCCAATTTTTGCTATCACAGCAACACATATCTATGTTAAAAGTGGAACAAGAAAGTTGTTTATTTTTCACTCATGCTTATACAATTGTTTCTTCTTAGGCGCAAGTTGCGAAATAATCTTAGCCTAATGGAAGAAAACACATGCAACAGTTTATTTCAGTATTTTGCTTATTTGATTTCTGCTTGATGTATTTTATATCTGAAGTTTAGGAGTTAAGTTAAGGGTTACATATGACACTGTAAGATGGCACACAACACCCCTATATGTTTACTAGGGAGATAAAGTCCTTGCCCCTCTCTTAGCCAGCATGTTGCA